CCTCTCTTTCGTCTTTCTCTCCTCTGTTCTCTCGATCTGCCTTTTTTCCGCCTTTCTCTCCTCTGTTCTCTCGACCTGCCTTTATTCCGCCTTTCTCTCTGTTCTCTCGACCTGCGGGATTCACACCTCAGCTGTGTTGCATTCGTAATTAGCAATTCGTTTGTGCACACAGCTGGGGTGCATCCCACTGATTGACTTCCTCCTTATTTATACCTCCGGCAGACGCTCCGCTGTCACCGGAGCATTACCAAATGTACGTGTACTTAGCGTATATCCCAAATACGTGATTTTGATTTCTACGCTGACAGTTTCTGTGCTGTAGATTTTATTATGTACGTTGGTTTTTCTTTTTCCTCGTTTTTGGCTAGACGTCTTTGTTCTCCACGCTGACAGTTCCTGGGCTGTGAACTACATTTTGTACGTCGGTTATATGTTTTGTGTTTGATTTATGGAGACTTCCTCGCTGACAGTTCCTGTGCGGTGGATCTCGTGGTATGTTTTGTGTTTAAGTGTAGCAAAGTGGCATTAGACTTTTTTTTTCCCCCCTGACAGTTCCTGTGCGGTTGCTTTTCATTTGTCGTTCGCCACTCTTTTTTGTTTTTTTGTTTTCATCTGTCCGTCCTCATTCTCTCCTGGGGTTTTTTTGCCATCAGTCCCATGGTTCACCTGTTTGTTCTGATTTCCTCCACCGTCTCTGCTTTACCCGGACTGTATAAGTACATGGACTTTATTGTGTTCTTTTGTCACTTTGTGTTTTACCAGTGAACCATCTTTTTTTTTTCCCCCTAGCACCTGGATCTGCAAACTTGAGTCCAACCTCAGTTCTCCCTCACCCTCCTGGTGAGGGGGGCTACCATATTAGTAATGTTATGCAGGCTGTTTAGGTGTTTCTAACATGAATAATTTACATGCATGCATGCAAATGTATGTTCTTGGCTTTTATCGTGTAGTTTGGAGGCACAAGTGGAAGGGAAGCTCCACAAGGACAGCCTGTTTAAATGATCATATTAAACAAGCTGACTATTATTTTAAGAAAGAGAAAACTAAGAGTCAAAGAATAGGCACAGCTTAACATACTATTTGTGCATTTTGTCACTTTGGATCAAGCAGTAAGTAACTTCTTACTCAAACAGCTGGGCAGTTGATCATTTGTCGTTCTTATTTCATGTTCCCATGTGCTCATTTGCAAGTGAACCGATGAGAGTTACAGATAAATGCACATGTTGCTTCTATGAGTGCTGACCTTAAGGTTGTCAGTGACTGAACACAATGACAGAGTGGCAGTCCATGATACAGGGTAGCTAAGCTCTCCATCATCCAGCATGGCAGACACAGGTGACTGGTCAATTTGATCTGCTTGTCACTAAGTATAATGTATAGCCTTTTATTCCTAAATGCAAGTTGGAAGTTCATGGCTGGCAGGGTAGAATTACAGTTCAGTGGTTTTACAATTAAATGGTTGGCTTTCAGTGGGGAAAAATTTGCAGTATACAACAAAACAAAGCACACAGTGGTCAATAGCACCACCGTGTTAAATAAGTACAATTCCTGTTTATTTAATTTACTTTTATTTGGGCCAAAGTCTAAAAAGAATTAAGAGGATTCCCTCCACACCTGCATAACCTAATTATAGTAAATAACTGTAAAAACAATTACACTAAATAAAAGTTACTGTAAAAACTTTCAGGCAGTAAATTCACACGTTTTTCTCAAAAGTGTACAATGAGACATATTATTGAATTTGATCAAATTTCTCTGACATCTGTAAATAATTGGAGATGAACATAAATGACAAAGTGTATGCTTTGTGCATTTGTTATTGTTATAATCTGTTATTAAAAGGTTCTGCAGTTTATATGGCTTACTGGAATCCGCACTAACTGTCTCAACAGGAGGGGCTGAAAAATCACTCTTGCGTTTTAAAGTTAAAGACCTATAAATGAAAATTTATTAAAAAATAACAGTCCTTGTTTACTGAATATAAATAAAAGTTAACAACCCCAGTAAATCAATGTACAGGAAAATGATGTAGAAACTTAATCCTAATCAGAGTTAACGACTTATTAGTGGCTATGAAGTGTCAGTGAACTGACATTTAAAATAAGGCCTGTGTTTGTTGTTGCAGGGGTTTTAGTGCATGTATTTACTGTTACTGCGTAGATAGAAGACTCACTCACACACTATCTCATACGAGCATGCAAACATAATATGGAATGGAATATGGCCCAGACATGGTATTTCTGTCTCACTCACATACAGTCACATAGTGCAGGGATTAGTTCAAGAGCATGCCCCAGAGCAGCAGTTGGAAGCATTCACACAGAGGATTTGCAGCATCTCCTCCTGTCTGGAACAAAGAATTAATAGCAGCCTACTGTTTCACAGTGCAGCCCCCAACATGTCCCTGTTCACCAAAGAATTACATTTCTGTGCTCCAACATACACCTGTAAATTTCACATCAGACATTATAAACTACACCTCAAATAGGAGGCAACTGTTTCATTAGCTTTGGTCACAGGTCCTGGATTTTAGGTTTAAATGTGTGCATTCCTTATTCTAAATTTTACTTTTTATTAATTTACTATTAATCAAGTGTTCTACAAGAACAAAATCAAAGATGAACCACCCAATCCAAAAATTAGTTTTGTGTTCAGCACAACTTTAGAATTGTTGGTTTGTGGAAGCTTCAGTTGCAAAGCTGCAACATGAAGTGTTTGCATTAAGCAACACCTGAGAAAATTGAGGCTGCTACCAATAATGTGGCCTGGCAGTTAACATCCAAAGTTATGTGTGTATGGTCACACTGTGTGTGTGTGTGTGTGTGTGTGTGTTAGTGTGTTAATACTTACTACTTATAAGTCTCTGAGCGAAGATATTCAAATACATGGGAGATGCCCAGCTGGAACTGGTCTGCAATTGGTGTGACCCAGGGATTATTCTCTGCTTTGAACACCTGTTTTGGACCAGTGAGATCCAAATTACCTACAGACAGAGAGGGAGACACACAATACAACTGAACTGATCACACTGGTTAACTGTTAATGTTGGAAAGTAGCCACTGGTTTGTAGACACAAAAACACCACTGCTGTAAAACCAACAGCCGAAGTGTAATGTGCGATTTTGTATTTATGGTACTGTACCAAGTTCAGGTGGCAGGACAGTTAGTCTGTTGCCCTGGATGTGAAGCTCTTTCAGTTGAGCCAAATCCCCAATCTCCTTAGGCAATGAGATCACATCATTATCCCTCAGACTCAACTGCACAGAAGGAAAAAAAGACACACTCATTTAACACAAGATCTGATCCAGAGAAACAACATGATCATAAGTACGAATTTGTTAAAAGCACAAATACTTCCAGCAAATTCCAACTGTTTTAATTGAAAATCTCAATTGTGAAAGAAAAAAAACACTGATAGACACTAGCATACACTTAAATCTATACATAAACAATAAGGGGACGGGTAGACCAGTGCACTAAACAGAAAGTCACTTTCGGCTTTTCCTGTTTAGGGGTCGCCACAGCGAATCGTCACACTGACGACTTGCATGTTGACATTTGGCACATGTTTTACACCAAATGCCCTTCCTGACACAACCCTGATTCAAACCCAGGTTGCAGCAGGGAGAGCGCAGTGCCTTAACCACTAGCCTACCAGGGACAGCAGACCAGTGCGCTAAATGTAACCCATAAACAACATCAGTTCTGATTTAATTGCTTCTTGAAAACCTCAGTAAATGGGCAGAATTATATGAATTAAATGTGAGTAAGTGCACGGAGAAAAACTAATCTTCAAATTTCTTATGAGATCTTTAAAGAGGTTTTGCATTTAGGTCTAGTTTGTGCTGGACGTGCTTTCTTTTTCTTTCTTCTTTATTCAATTTAACCGGGTAAGGCTCCATTTAGATTCCAAATCTCATTTTCAAGAGAGGCCTGGCCAAGACAGCAGCATTAACAACACATTTACAGTAGAATACAGAACACAGTCCAGGCCATACATTTCATAATTTGAAGGGCAAGGCCATTTGGTCTTTAATTTCACACATTTTCAGAGGGCACACAGGCTGCTTGACTGGGCACAAGGCCCATAGACAAATGACATGTATGTAGGTATGTGTACGTAGCTTATATGTATACAGCCTGAGCAGTGAAGTTACAAACTACGTTTAGGGGTATGTGTTCAGAATATAAATACAACATGCAGTATTTGTAGAGATGTTTAAGGGAAATATGCAGAGGTATTTCATGTGCAGCATTGGAAGTAGAAGTGATTGTGCACCTTTATTATAATTTGGATAGTACCTAGCATTATCTGTGTAAATTTAGACCAAGGCAAACTGAGCTCTTAATCCAGCTGTCAGTCTGCTGATGCTGCTTAAAATCATAGGTTGGAGTAAAAATTGATGTATTAAGAAGAAAACAGAGGAAAGGGTGTCTAATTACTGTTAATTACTCTAACAGGTGCAATAATGAGGAGTAGAATGACCAGCACTGTGAAAACTAAAATTAAATGTAGACTGGCTGTCTATTAAACCTTTTACACAAACTCTTTCATTTCACAGTATAGGCTAACGTTTCACATCAAAAGACTTGTAAAACAATTAAAAATAGCATATATACAGGTAATAATAATTCAGTGCTGCTGATTTTGCATATGCAGTATTTCCAGTGGCAGAGAAAGCTACCTTTAACACTAAATGTAATGTTTACCAACCTCTGAGTTTTCTTACAGCTTGCGGCTTAGGGTTGAGTTCGGTGACCTTTCATTTTATCAATAAAACATTATTACTCTATCCACTCTTATTACAAAGATCTGTTTTTGGCATTTGCGAATTGATTCAGAATTGTAAAAGTTAAGAATTACAATTTTTAAGTGAATTGATTTTTTCACCCACCCCTACTGGTAACTCATGTTCCCAACTGCCTTGGCACACCCTGCAAGTTGTGTTGGCTTTATCTTACTATTTGTAACTTGGTCAGCTTCCCGATGTCAGCCGGCAGAACCTCAAAGTCATTGTCACTCAGATAGAGAGCACGAAGAGTGGCTGCAAAACAAATATGGCTGTTAGTCTGTGTGTGTACTTCTATGGCTAGCTTTGTGAAGACCTATTTGAGTTTTATACCTTAGGAGTGAAGACATTTTGGGAAACTGAGGACATTTTGGCCCATCCTCAATTTGTGACACCACTTCAAAGGGCTGGTTGAGGGTTAAGACCTGGTTTTAAGGGTTATGGTTATGGGTTATAGAATTCAGCTTCAGTTAGGGTCAGGAATTTCATTGTGCAGGGAATGCAGTATGTTCTCACAAAGATGTGGGTGTGGGGTGTGGGAGGAAGGTTCCTAACCAGTCTGGACTCCAATCAACATCACCAGTACAGCCTGGCTAATAATACTGCCTCACATACTGGACAGGGTCAATCTACAGAATACCAAAGACAACAGACACAGCGAGAAAGCTTTTTCAGTGCACAATGAAAAAAGGGGATCAGCTCACTCAGAAAAGAAGTATTTGTTGTCTCGTGTAAACAAGAAGCCACTTCTGCTCTGGAGTTCTATTTCTCTTTTAATGTAAAATCCATAACATGCTATACATGACTAATACATCTGAGGTATGGTCATTATCAGCTGATTGTACTGTATCAATTAGCCAGGCTCAGACTAGTGGGTAGTGTAGTTACACGGTGTAGTTAGGATAAATGCAGCAGAAGTTACAAAGTCAGTTGCTAAAATATGCTGAAAATTATAACAATAAGAACATGAGTTTGCACAATGAACTCCAATCCCTGAAGGTTTGTTACTAATTTTATATAATGATTTTGGTGTTGATGTTTTGTTTTTTGGGGAAGCTGGAGAGAAGTGTCTGCCTGAGAGTGATCTGTATAAGCTGGCACATACTCATAAATGGTTGCCCAACACAGTCTGAAGCCAAGTTGTGTGTACTAGACAGGTTGGCTATCCTGGCAGGATATGATGGACTAACGGTGCTGTGTTATCCAAACCCCTAACAGTGAAGCAAAATAAATTGTTTTTTATATTTTTTCAGGCTTTGCAGCCTTTATTGACTGAGCAGTGTAGACAGGAAAGCAGAGCACTCAAAGAGGGAGACCTAAGACAAAGATCCGCAGCCGGATTCAGACTACGGCGATCTCGCACATCATCATGCATTTACATGGGAGGAAGGGAGGTGCAATAGTGCACTCTAAAAAAGATTACTGTAAATCTGTTGTGAATATTGGTCTAAAATAATACTACCAATGATAAGTCAGCTACTGCCCAGAGTCAGCAAATGGCTTCTAGTCACCTAAGCAGCTAGTGGCTGATGACGGTTTCTATTTTCCTCCACCTGAGTCAGACTAATACCTTGGTTTGTTTATGAGATAATGAAAGATTGAAAACTTTGTCATTTCCAGTATGATAAACACAAGACTCAGAGTATAAAGTGTGTTTTCATATGTGTGTGTGTGTGTGTGAAGGTGCAGGGTGAGGGTAAAGGCTGGGGTTAGGCATTTAGTTGTGATGGTTGAGGTTAGGGTTAGAGGCCTATTACATCAAAAGAAAGACCAATGTGTGTGTGTGTGTGTGTCTATGAGTGAGAGTAAGTGTGCACTAACTGAGGTAGAAGAAGTTTCCAGGCAGGGAGTTCTGGTTCAGGTTGTTGTAGGTGAGGTCCAACACTTCCAGAGCTGGTAACGAACCAAATCCTCTAGGCAAGTTGCTCAGACGGTTCATACTGTGCTCACAAACACACACACACCAAACATATTACGCACACAAACCCACTACTGGATCATTTGCCTTCCAATTAATGGTACAAGATCTATCCAATCATTAGCTACAGTACACCTGCTTATTCTTGAGGGTCACTGGGGGATTAGAGTAAATCCCACCCTGGAGAAACTACCAGTCAAAGGGCAGACACACTGAAACATTCACACTTACTGTATGTTCTTACTGGCTGGCAATTTATAGGTTTAACCTGCATGTTCTGTACTGTGAGAGGACCCTCTCTCCACACAGCCATATAGCGTACAAGGTACTCCAAAGCAAATGCTGAGAATTATCAGTGTCCAGTTCCCTGAGCTGAATGTACATTAATCTAATACAACAACCATGCAATAAATCACACCTTCATCATGGCTCCAGTATTAGAATTTAGTTCACACTGTTATACATTTATACTGAGAAGTGTTTCTAATCTTCTGTCCTTCTGATTTACACCAGTGAAGGTAAACTATATATTTGTCAGGACATGTGTTAGATGTCTGTGATAAAATTAAACACCTGGGACACTTTATTACAGATCAGCTGACTGACGATGATGACATATATAGGCAGTGTTATATGTATGTTATATGTTATATATGGATTATGGAGCATATGTTATATGCTCGTGGTAACATACTGGCAAGAAAGTTTCACATGTGTTCAGACTCTGTGAAGATGAGCCTATTTACAACACACTGCACTCCCTTGTATAAAGCTCCTCTGTGGGTAGATTTTAAAAAGGTAACAATGCAGAAACTTTGCTTATAATGACTGCATGAGGTTACTGATTAAGGCACCTAGGTATTGTAGTGCAAGTGACATGTTAGTTCTTTACAGGTCTTGCTAAGAAAATCAGTTTATAAGTTTATTTGTCGCTTGAATGACTCCTGTAATGTTATCATTATGTCACTGACGAATCCGGAAATGAGTGCTAGGCGATACCAGTCTTTCATATGGAAGTACTAGTATTAATGTTATGTTGAGCCCTAGAAATGAGTGCTAGGCGATACCAGTCTTCCATGTGGAAGTACTAGTATTAATGTTATGTTAAGCCCTTGTTATCTTTGTTATTTTGTTTTTTGTGATGTATGTCTTTGGATGGATTTTTAAAAATCTGCTAATAAAAGATGATGATTATGATGACAGTTCAATATTTATTATGGCAGCATTGTTTGATGGTGTATTTTCTCACAAATGTAGCTGTTAACAAACATTCTCTGTCAGCACTGAGTTATATATTTGATATGAGGAGCTGGAAGGATCATTTGGGTCTCTCTTCCCCCGTTTCAGGACATCTACTAAGAGAAATCTTTACAAAAGCCTTCTAGCATCATAAAGGACTCTTCCCACTCTTTCTCACTGAATGTTCTCTTTTCAAGAAAAAGACAGATTAACACTATATCCTTAAAACCAACACTCAGATCCTGACTCATATAACTCTGTGCCTACAACACAAGAGGAAGTTAAATTCTCTGAGCCACTGCGATAATATTCAGTTACAGAAATTACCTAATCTTGAACTCATGTTTTCAAACTCATGGTTTCATAGTACTCGTGTCCTCAGTGGTACATGTTTGTGTTATTTGTTTGCTGCTTGTCCTTGTGGACTAAGACAAGTAAGCAGCTAAATAAGGAGGAAGCAGCTCAAAGACCCGGGCAGACAGATTAGCAGACAGGGAGGGATTGATGCTCTGAAAGACAGCTGAGTTTATGCACATTTACACCTGTCTGTGCAAGCAACTGGCAGGTCATAGGGACAACTGTTCTATTTCTATTCTCTTACGTATGTTTGACAAATGAGATTAAGCACTCAAAAAGTTCAAACACACAGCTGCATATCCACTGGCCAACACACACACACACAGCCAAAAGAAAAATAAACAGAGGATGAAAAGTGAATGCACATCCTGAATAGCAGTATGAGGCTTACACTAGCCAGATGATATTTGTCTGTGGATCAATACGCACCAAAGCTTTCCTCCTAATCCTACTGCCACTGACACTATACCTGTGCGAGCCTGAACTCATATCTTGATACACACCTAAAGCATTTCTATCCAACAGGTGAGGAGCTGAACCTCCTTCACTAATTTGTTAGGGTATGTTCACATTATCGCAGAAAAACAAAGGTCTCATACTGCATGTTCTGCACTGGTCAGCACAGTCCAAACTCCCAGGGCGCTGTACGAAAAGGTGCTACCTCAGCTACACTACTAATGTTGCCAGCAGTTGATCACTGCATTTCAGAGATTCAGTGTTTTTAACAGTCTTAGTAGCTCCAACAGCATGCTGATATTTCTCCAGTTACTCTGTCTGCTCTAAATATGAGGGTCATTTGTTATTGTACAGTCTGAAAAATTCCAAAACACTAGTAGGCTAATTACTATCCCACCAGTTAAAGCAGTGACTGGTTGCACCCACAAAGATCAACAATGCAACCGGGGGTCCATGTTCAACAAATTGGAACTTTTGGCGCACCACCTCTCTGCACCACAGAAGTCCATGCAGGACACCAGATAACAGTGATGACATGTACACAAAAGCTGTTTTACCATGGCAATGTGATACTTTACACATCAGGCAAATCAAGGACATTTTAGTTGAGGTTCAGGACTCAAACTAAGTCTGATTAAACCTGTGGATACATCACCCTTTAAAAAGCTCTCTGGTTTTCATGCCGTCCAGCCTAATTTACCAAATCAAGCAGAAAGGCTTAAAGATTCAAAATAACTGTCTAATCAGAGTTGGAACAGGCTGAGGAAGCAGATACTGCAGAGAGTAAATCGGTATCTAGTGACCGAAGTAGAACTTCAAGTGTATGCTTATGTGTGTATATGTGTTTATGGGGGAAACAGGAGGATGATTACACAGTAGAGAAGTCTGGCCTTACGGCAGCAGCAAATGTGTGTGTGTCTGTGGGCGTGAACAAACTGAGGACGAGACATACCCGAGGTTGAGGTGTTTCAGCTTCTGAAGACTGCTGATCTGAGTCGGCAGCTCTTCAATCTGGTTGTTGAACATATTTAGAATCTCTATGTTCTTCAGCTCAGAGATGTTAGCAGGCACCGCTAGAAATCACAAACAGAGGGGAGAAGCCTATCAGACGGACAGATACACACACACACACTTCTCCAAAACGTTCATAGCATTTCATCTACAGCTAATACGTCACAGAGTGTGGTTAGCCCTCACCAGCACCCCCAGCTCCTGACAACCAACTCATCATCATTAGCTGCAGGGCTCTGACAAACCTCATGTAATTAATAACTCCATTAGCTGCTGTGTTGCCTGGTTTTACATGTTCACATTTGAATGGGAAAAATATTGCAGTTTCTTTCTCCACTACCATTGGTTTTATTCCCCCATGGTCCGCGGCCACAGAGGCGGGCTCAGATCAGTTGACTGAGGATATGGCTGGAGTTTATCAGATTATATGTTGATCAATAGAGGAAGAGAGAGACAGAACCATTCTGAAGAGGAAAACAGAAAACAACCAGGCTCTGAATTGTATGAAAGACTTGAGAGAGTATAGACCTACTGCTGTCTGTGATCACACAACCCCAAAAAGGCAGAATCTCCACCTCTCCGATCTCCTAAATAATGTTGTGTCTGATGAGCTGATGAGTGGAAGAGATGAAGTGTGATGAGGGCCAGGAGGGAGAAAGAGAGGGAGATAGGAGAGTGATGATTCTTAACTAAACTAACTTTGGCAACAAAAGAAAAATTTAAACTGTGGAAGCAAATTGCACCACTGTTAGCTATATTGATAGAAAAGCCTGAGCCATATTATATGGCCCATAAATCTGCAGCTTTATTCAGTAAAATCAGTACTTTGATTTCTGGTTTTTGACAGCAACAGTAAATTAATGACAATACTCCACATGTGCAGATTCATTTAGAACGCTTGTATACGCTTATAGGTCCACCACTTCAAAACTGGGCCTAAAGAGAAAGCATGATAAACACAAAGTGCACTGACAGAGGTGATGAGGTCTAGCTCAGTTTTCTATAAATAACCGAGCTGAGCGACATATGGGCAATCTTTTCATCTCCAGCAGCAGATTAGAAAACACAACGCCAAAAAGATGAACATCTCACTGAATCATCAGGCACAAATGAAAAGGTGCATCTCCAAATAGGTTTTAGTATCTGTGTACAATACATTATCAGTAAATTGAATCCAGCAACAACAACAAGAAAAATGGACTTATCTCAAATCAAGTGAAATTATGTTACTTAGTAAACACCCATAATTTTCACATTGACAACAGAAGACTGAAGTCACAGTGGAGAGGAAAAACCAAAAAGCAAACGATCATGATGAGAAACACAACATGCACTGATAGGGAAGAATAAAGGTCAAATGAAACTGAATTAAAACTAAATTGAAACTTTCATTAGTTTCTAGCTATGACTGCAGCTTTCAAGGCTCATTTATACAGTATACAAACCTGAAGTATGTATATGGTTTTAATACAGTAAATGACTTTGATTTCCATATCCTTCTCAGCCCTGTTAGTGTGACCCAGGGAGCTGCTGGGTTTTCAGGTTGTATGTTGGTGTGTTTAAAGACAAAACTGGAACCGGTCACCTGCACTGAGTGTGATGACCACAGTGGAGAGGTTAACACTGTGCCACAGCCAGCGGATGCACTCCCTCTTGCCCTTCTAATGAAACACTCTCCAAATGTGATTATAATTCTTGACCACGTTCCTACAGCAGCACAGCCTCCATCCTGTCTGACCCAGTGCGGCTGTATCTGCAGTATCACCAAATGATGCTGGATAAGATGGAGGAGGGTATGAGATAGAACAAAACACAGTGATAATTCCGGTGAGATTTCCCTTACAAGGCTGGACTCACAGAGTATACCTTGAGAGCTACTGGAGGTGAGTAACTACACCAATTATATTATTCCCACTTCTGTTTGAATTGGGCTACAAATAACCACACATGTGTGTAATCTCTTCATCTATGGCAGCAGATTAGAAAACACACCAGAAGCTGAATATGTCACTAAATCAGTGAGCACTCACTCATCTAATAAAAATAAAACAGAAATCAAATGTCCACCACATCACTGTCTGCTATGTTTTTATGTGGATGGTCTAACAATCTCTGTTAACTAAGGTTATCTAATAAGAATAGTTTTATTGTTTGCATAGACCCTAACAATAAAGACTACAAGACTAAAGGCACAGCAGAAAAAGGAAAGTCCATTTCAAAGGATAATAATGTCTAAAGTTCACTTTCCTGAAAGGTCAGAGAAGCAGAAGATAAAAAACAAGTTAGATCTGACCACACTAAAACTCATATGCTATTCCTAACAGTATAGTTTTATAACAACATACTTTTTATAATTAGCCATCACATTTGATATTCAAGTGTCAGAGAAAGTATATTAATAAGGGCCAAAAATTTATGTGGTTATTTGGTTCTTGTAAAGCTGTTTGGGAGTGTCTTGATGGAGCTGTGAGGACCCCTGCTGGTGCAAAACAGCATCACGCCACTTCTTTCTGATTGGCTGATTGTGGAGCGAGCTACGCAACAAGCTCATGCTTCCTCTTCCACAGGAAATAGAAAAACTGAGAGAAGCATATGAGCTGATATATTTACAACATAAGCAAACTATATGACTATGCGAGACTGTGCAAGTATCTCATTCTCTAAACGGAACTGGCTCTGGTGTCAAATCAATCATGATACCAAGTGGTTGTTCTGCACATGTCCATGGAGACCACCAGCTGCATTCCAGTGGGACTCTCTTTTATGGCTAGACTGCCAGAACATCTAGTACAGGTTCAGCACTTAGTCTTCTGGTACACCCCAAACACAGACTCCAACATTACATCTTATACCACAGACGGGGGTTATATTCTCCCCCATTTATAACAGCACATCATATGACCTAGCTCTAAATGTAGGTCACATGACGACACCTGATACAACAACCACTGAAGAAGGTCACAAAATGTAAGTGAAAGCTGCAGTAGGTGGACCCGTGACCTTATATTATTTTGGTTACATATAAAAATGAGGGTAACAGTCTGTGTGTTTTCTAAGTAGAATCAGAATCTGCTTTATTGGCCAGGTGTGTCAGACACACGAGGAATTTGAGTCTAGTACATCGGCTCTCAATGTGCATGTACATATCCCCATATAGAACTCTATAGAAGTAAAAGACACTGTTCCTGAGTTCTGTTCCATCCTTTCGGTTCCTGAGCGGTCTTTGATTCCGAATAGTTTTCTGTGTTTTTAGTCACTGATCAGACCTAAAACAGCACTTCAATAAAACAGCGCAAGGTTGGTAGGTCGTTTCAGGTACACAAAACATGTACCACAACACAGGAGGTCCAATCTGAGTAACGATCAGTTGAAGATTCCTGACATGCTGCATAACTACTGTATTTCTAATATTCACAGAGATGATGTTACAACAAATTTGTCCTTTGTCAAAACAATTGTATAGGTAAACAGAAACAGAGCCAGGTTAAACTGTATTGGACAACCTCACACCTGTCTGACGGCTGGAAGCAGCTTACCTGTGATCTTGTTGTGGCTGAGGACCAGCTGAGTGATGTTAGACAGAGTGACTGAAATGACAGGAAGCATTAAGTCAACACACTGCAACTCATCAGTTTGTTTAACTGGTTTCATGCATCTCACAGATAGCCTATTGAGTAATTATACTAATTAGCCTAATTAGACATATCCCACCATTAGAAACAAGTAATCAAATCTGCGTTTGTATTTTCTGTCACATTTTCTTATAAAATTAAAAGTAGCCTATGTAAAACGAATAAGGACGATAATAATAGCAGTCTTACACAGTCCTGGGATGTCTAGCAGGTTGGAAATGCCCCTGTCGCACATCTCCACCTCTGGAAGGTTCTTATCGCGACTCTCCTCCACGATCTTCTTCAAAGACTTGGACATTTTTTTCTGAAAACACGACAGCACGTGTAAACGTTAGATCCCAAGACTGGTGAGTAGACAGTTATAGGCAACATAAGAAACAACTGGTTAAGGGTTCGGGTGCAAGCTATGTTCAGAGTAGGATAAGGGGGAAACACATAATAAACTTCACTTCCCCTTAGTATCAACCTCTAATTCTTACGCTTACTCTTGTAAAAGTCGTCTTTCACACACACTGCCAACAACACAACACGTTTAGCGACAGGCTGAAGGTAGCTGTGCGGATCCATGAAAAGTACTGAAGAAGCTTACCGTTTGTGAAAAGACAAAATACTAGCTTTTTAATTCCTGGTAGAGACTCAACTTCAAGCGCATGCCCCACCGAAAATAATGTGAGCGCTTCTATTCCATAATAGGATATTTCCCGTTCCTAGATAAGGTTCAGCCACACTTCCGGATGAAATTCGTCTCCAAACTACACCCAGCAACAGAAGTACAGAGTTAAATTTATCCATTAATAAAAACGTAACACATCTGATATAACATGCAAAGCAAAAATACTATCACTCAAGAACGTGTTTCAATGTAATATTCTTCTAAAATCCCATAACTATATGTCTCATAAATGGAATTGAGTTATTTCCATGTTGTTTTTGTCCTTATAGCATATAGTAGTTTGTATGATTTAATAATGAATATTCCTGTAATTGGTTTATTAGCAAGATGAGAAAACACGTGTAAACCTTCAGTATCAGATTTGTTGGGCAAAGCAGACTCCTGCATTCAGAAGATTTTCTTTATTTTATTTTGTTAATGACCCAATAGCCAACAAACAGATGATGGTGGTAACCCTACTTAATCCTCAGCTGTTGTCTACCTTTGATAGGAATATATTTCTATCTATCTATCTATCTATCTATCTATCTATCTATCTATCTATGCTTCATCCACATGTTTTCTCCTCATAAAGCTCTCTCTTATAAAATAACTATATTCTTTTTAGGAATAAACCCCTGTTGGTTACAAATAAATACTGTCAACATTTTGTCTGATGTTACAGAAATATATGTGAGGAAACCCTTTTGGCGTGCCCTTTCTCATTACTTTCAATTTATATCAAGCTCATATTGGTATTTATTGTTATTTATTACAATTGACTATTGTATTGAATCATATTGCTTTTATTCCTTAATTTATAAATATTTATGTGCATGTGTGCACTTGTTTTGTACCCTACCTAATATGTTGTTATGTGTTAAATAAACCTGGTTGGAAAGTAACTAAGTACATTTACTCAAGTACTGTCCTGTAAGGACAGTTAGGAAGTATCACTGCTGTACTTGAGTTTTTTTCATTTTCTGCTACTTCATACTTCAACTTCACACATTTTAGAGAAACAGATTGTACTTTTTAGTCAGTACATTTATTTGCTAACTTTAGTTATTAATTACTTTTCAGAATGAGATCAATAAAACCAAATATTATAAAAGAAAGACTTTATTGATCCCTGGTGGGAAAGTCACAAGCTACCCAGCGGAACCAAAGAACTACTAGTTGCAACATTAAATGTGATTTACACAATAATACATTAATAATTATAGTCCAATAATAATAATAATTTGCAATTGAGTACTTTTATCTTTAGTTCTTTAAGTAATTTTGATACTAATACTTTTGTATTTTTACTTAAGTAACATTTTGAATACAGGACTAGTCAACAAAGTATTTTTATATTGTAGTATTGCTGCTTTTATTTAAGTAAATAGTTTGAGTATTTGTTCCACCACTGCAGATAAAGTTTTGTTTTACATAAAACGTGTTATAGTGACATTATTTTGTTCACTCCAATAATAAGGGTAGGCTGACTGCATTATTTGTAGTATACAGTAGGAGGACCTAAGAAATAAGCAGCTGAGTGTAATTCAGTCTCCATATCAGTTGGTGGCGTTAATGTACCGTTTTGTCGTTTTCCGATCTCCGTAAGACATCGAACTATTTGCCAACCACCATTAAACAAGAGAAGAAGAAGAAGAAGAGCTGTACCAGGTTCAGGGGGGAGAGGGAAATACTATTTTAAGAGGTGGAATGAACTTTAGTTGTCTGGAAGGTGGCGGTAATGCAGCTAAAGCTGGTTGCCAACCGCCATTAAAAACAGCTGAAGAAGAAGAAGAAGAAGAAGAAGAAGAAAAAAAAGAAGAGGAAGAAGAAACTACTACTACTGTAAACACGCATGAGGATGCTGATATGACTGTACTATGGAGAGTCTACGGGTGCTCGAGCTTTACAGTGGGATTGGGGGAATGCATTATGCTTTAAAAGGTTAGTTTGTTGTTGGTACTAATCTGAGCAGGTTTTTATTTCGTCACGTTCTAAACAATACCAACTGGAGACAGATTTTCTTTGCCACGATGTTTTTCATTGTGAAGCAGACTACCATGCGCAACATAAAAGTCAGGCTGGTGTTAGGGCTTAACAGGTTTCCTTTTTATTTCCTACACATTGGGTACGCATTGTTACCATGAATTTACGTTATGCTTTGTGCAGTAGCACCAAAATCCACTCGGTGAAATGCACTTGTATGGTGCGGCTAAAAAGGGCAAAACATAAGGGGACCTATAATAGCCTGGGTATGGGTTGTGAACGTAAACTACCGGTTTTTCGGACCTACCAACTGGGAGTGTTACTTCACTAAATTGTATTCACAGGGGTTTCTTTGGGAGCTGAAAATGTAGGCATGTAATGCAACACTAGCTGAATTAGGTTTTAGAAAATCTTCATTTGTAGTTCTTGTCTTTTTCTTCTTCCAGCATCCCTGCCCACGTAGTGGCTGCCGTCGACATAAACACCACCGCCAATGAGGTCTATAAGCACAATTTCCCTGACACCCCCCTCTGGACCAAGAGCATTGAGGTGGGTGATAGGACACTTTAAGCATGACTTCTTAGTTCTGAACAACACAGTGATTCAAACCTCCATATATCTCAGTGTTGCTCTGCAGTAGACTGGCAGGGTGTTGGACTGACTTTTACATGGCAAGGGGATTCATAACAGTTATAAAGTGAGAGGAGACTATCATAATTAAAATACGTACCTAGAGGAGGTAATTGTTGATGGATCTAAAGCACTCATCTGGGCTCTTTTTTTTGTAGGGCATACCACTAGATGACTTCAATAAATTATTTGTTGATGTGATTTTGATGAGCCCTCCTTGCCAGCCTTTCACCAGGTAGGTCTTTTATACAGTATGGTGTGACTTAGTTGTATAACCATATCCAGCTGGAGAATGTCAAACTGAGTTCAGTTCGAAGTGTTTATTTTGTTTATTTCATATGCACAGTTAGGAAACGTGTTTCCTGTACAATGAAATTCTTACTTTGCCGTCCACGTGAATGCCACAAAATACAAATGAAATATAAAGTAGATAAATAAGTAACGCAAAATCTAAGGCACTTTAAGCAGCAACAGATGCAGCAATATAATAAAAAATATATAGGAATATAACTGAATGTATGCTGCATGGGAGCAGCATGTGCAGCAGAGTCATTGTGCTATTATGCATGTGTAAACTGAAAATGTAAACAGTACAGCATGTATTTCCAGGTAATAAACTCCTCAGCTGTTTAGTAGGAGTCTGATGGCAAAGGGAAAGAAAGAGTTTTTCAGTCTAGAAGTCCTGCATTTCACACTTCTGAACCTCCGGCCAGAGGGCAGAGAAGTGAACAGTCCGTGCTGGGGGTGGGTGGGATCTTTGAGGATGGATGGAGGCAGCTTTCCTACGCACCCTGCGGTGGTAAATGCTCTGCAGAGAGGGCAGTGGAGTCCTAGTGATCTTCTCCGCAGTCTTTACCAC